TTTTTGCTTGGTTTACTTTGCAATGCCTGGTAATGACTGAATTGTGTTCCCTCCACAGCCATATGTTGCAGCCCTAACCCCCAACGTGACTCTATCTGGAATAAGGTCCTTAGGACACAATTAAGGTCAAATGAGGTTATCCAGTGAGACCCTACTCTGATAGGACTATGACCTTATAAGGAGAGGAAGTGATCTCTCTTGTTTCCTGCTTTTACTCTCCCTGCCATGTGAGGAGACATTGAGAAGGTGGTTACCTTCAAGAACAAAACCCTGGCAGCACCCTGATCTCAGATGTCAATTTTGTAGACTGTGGGAAAATAAGTGTCTGTTGTTTTAACCACCCAACCTATATTTTGTCATGGCACCCTTCGCTAACTTAGAGATGGTCTTGGTAAATATGGTAATCAATATTTTTTTAGTGAACTGAATGAAAGAGTCATTCATTGGTATCGTTACCAATGTATTACTCCCTCAACACAGGATGACTGCATCCTGTGGGGGTGGGGAGTGTTTACTAGTATAGTGGTCTTGATGCTTAGGGAGAATGGGAGGCAGCCATGGAGGTGACAAAATAGAAAGGCCTGAAAAGGCTCAAAACTGACAAATTTTCCTAGCTCCCTATTTAAAAAAACAATTGGAGTAGGCTTAACTCTGAAATTTGGGATGGTGGATTATGTGGTGAGTGAGTGAATATGTGTGTGTGTGTAAAAGCTCTCCTTACCATTAGATAAGACTATCTGACTCTAAGTGTGCTTAGGCACAATCTGGTTATTGCTCTCCACAGAGAATTAATACCCTAAGCTGGCAATGAGATTCTGTTCCTCAAGTAAATAACAGGTAAAGGGAGAGAGAGGAACACAGTGTCATAGTAACTGGAATACCGGAATAACTGGAATTCTTGTGTCACTGATGGCACTTTTAGTGGAAGTACTTTCTAAATTATTTTCTGCCACAAACAACACAGGCAAATGGTATAAAAAGTTCCTAAAATTTCCAAGAAAATGTAAGTTGAAAGTTACTAAATTCTATTAAGGTTAGCAAATTAACTCCTATGACTCATTGATTCGTCATAAAGAGTGCCATCTTGCCTGGCAACCAAGAATTCAGATTATCTTCATCAAGTCCTGAGTAGGAAGGCAGAAAATGGCACCGCAGGTCACAAAGTTTGGAAAGGAGAAGGCTTCAGCTTGGCTCTTGCTTTACACTTGCATCTTTTTTCCCCAGAGGGTGAGTGGGTAGGAAAAGGCTGTTTAGAATCATGGGAAAAAGGACCAACTCTATACGACATCCTTGCAGGGTTAGGCAACATTTAAACATGTTAAAAGCCCGTTACACTTAAAAAGAATGATGGCGTTAGTAGAATTCTGTAGCTTTGAGGGTCAGGAGGCAAAATAAATCTATGATAACAATCAGAAAAATGGTGGCCTGTAAAAGTTGGGGGTTGACTAGAGTGGATGTGAAGCAGTTTTCTGCCAATGGAAATACTGTACACTTTGGTTGGTGTGATTGTTAGTGGGCATGTCTATTCAAATTTATGAACTGTACGCTTCGGGTATGTGCATGCGCTCTACATGTATTTTGCTCCCAAGAGCAAAAATCCAAGGAAGGTCAGGCAAAAAGAAATCTAGGTGCTAATAAAAAATACTTAAATGACTACACTATCACTGAAATGAGGAGGCATTTGCGTGTTGTGGTGGCTTACACCTGTAATCCCAGAACTGGGGAGGCAGAGGCAGGAGGATTGCAAGTTTGAGGTCAACCTTGGTTATGTACTGAGGCCTTATTTCCAAATCAAAACAAAAAAAAGGAGGATCTACTTAAAAGGAAACTCATTTTTCTTCCACTTTAGAGGGAAAGGGTTGATGTCAAATAAATACTCAAAAATAAGTTTCCAGAGAGAGCATTTGTAATGAGTGCAGTGTTCAGTTTGAAGAGCTAACTTTGACATCTCAGAGTGAAGGAAAAATGCCTGGCAGTATAAGCTATCAGGCAATAGCTCCATATTTATTTCTTTCATGTTTTCTGTTGGAAGAATACTGTTCTTGTAAATGCAAAAAAAAAAAAAAGCCTTTAATGGAGCTGGAGAAGAAACCATGCTTGGTCGTTGTGTTGTCTGGTTCAGAACTAAAATGCAGAGCCCTCTGGAGCATCACGCCACCAAGAAGTGCAGGCGTAAGCTTCAAGATCATACAGATCTGGATTTTGACTTTGTGGCCTCAGTCACTATGAAGATACAAAGATAATTTTTCATCAAAAACAGCTTTGAAAGTGGTAGAACTCTAAAAGCTAGCTTTTAGAGATGGTTAATCCAGACAGATGGGATCTTCTTTTGTCCTTTGAATATCTGGATTCATAAATTAGACAGTATTTGGTGACTTAACAATGACAAGGCACTGTTCTAGGAACTCACCTTCTTCATCCTGCATATATATGTCTATGTCTGTCTGTCTATCTATCTATCTATCTATCTATCTATCTATCTATCTATCTATAGCTCCAGTTTAGGGAAGAATGTGATAAATGCAGAACTACCGCTGGTGCTTAGAAAGGAACTGTCTTTGAACAGGAACTAAAGGAAGACATTCTTGTTTGGTAGCACTTGGCTACACCTTATGAACGGCTTTCGCCTGACAAGCCAAGACAGTGCAGGTTCTAGCTAGAAAAAAGAAAAGCTTGAGTGTCAGGCTTTCATTTGGTTGAGACATAGGCTGCATGATGGAGGTGACAGACTAGAAAGGATGGGCATGACAACCAGGAAGACCCTCCAGGGGAAGCTGGAATGTGGGTGAAAGATGGAACTGAGTTGAGAAAAAGATGGATCCTGAACCACTGAAAAGCCAGAAAAGAAACAAGCAGCAGGATCTAGGATGAAGTAGAGGAAAGCAGTTCTAGGAGGCTCTTAGGATAGGTAAGGTCATGAGGGACTGAGGTGGTGATAGAAATGCAATGGGAAGGGAGAGATTGCAAATGTAGAAAGATCAGGAATTGCTTCTTGGTCAGGTATGGAAGGCAAAGGAAAGTCAGCAATGCACCCTCCTCCCCGCGATGGTGAGATTTTAATCTAGGTGACTGAAGAGACCATGATGCTGTCCATAAATAAAGGGAAATTGAGGAAAGTGCTATGTTGGGGAAGAAAGAATGAGGATCCATGTTTGAAGAAGCCAGCAATGCTCAGGAGACTGCTGGAAAAGTGGCCTGGCCTGGAGATACACTGGACGAGGGAGCTAGAGAAATAGACTTCACTCTTCTTCCTCTGGGAGTGTGGGTGTCCAGCATGGAGTGAAGCAGGAAGAAGAGGCAGCTAGAGTCCAAGTGAGAAGCTGTGGCTAGAGGCTCTAGAAGAAAATTAGCATTGTGCACTATGTTCCCCCGCCACCCTCACCAGGCCTGGGTGATGGAAGAGATTGAAAGCCACTGCGGGAAAGAAAGCAGTGGAGAACACTGTTTTATTTCTTGTGTTTCAGAACACTGTCTTTATTGGGCATCGTGGAGTAACTTTGACTGTAAGTCTCTGCATAATCTAAGTTTCTGAGAGATAACCAGTGTTCTCACCTTCAGAAGCTAAAGGTGGCCATTTGGAGGTTTCTTTTCTTCCCTCCCTCCTCATTTTCTCTCTTCTTTTTTTTTTCCTCCCCTCCCCTCTCCCATTCTTCCCTTCTCCTCCTTCCTTCTCTCTTTTCATGCTTTTTTTGGGGACTGGAATAGGACATGGGTAGTCACTACTGACCTACAGGAGGAGCTACTGTTACCAAAAAAGGGCAACAGTCTTTTTTTTTCAATATTTGTTGCTGTTTGTTTTTGCAGTGCTGGGATCAAACCCAAGACCTTCCTCGTACCAGCCACTGACATGCACCCATCAGCCCTCAATATTTATTTACATTCAGTGTCTACAGTCATGGTGACTGTGGAGGGAGCCCTTCTGCGGGCCAGTACCACATTATGTCGGGTCTTTCAAAGCACAAAAGCATGTATTTGCACTGTGACACCCCTAACAGTTTTCTAACTTTCTATTTCTTTCTCTGTACTTGTTTCAAGGGCACTCATAAATCTTTTGTTAGCTGCATGGGGTCCAGAGGCCACTCCTGACATTATGATTACAGTCATTTAATATTTAAGGCGGTGGTGACTAATGTCTGCCAACAAAGGCTCCGCCAGGCGTCTTGTGTCCTGGGACCCTGGGTGAGGGCACACTCCCTTTGGAGTACCTTGTTACTGTGTGTTTTACCATGGTCAAGGGAAAAGATGAGAACCAGGTAGATCCATGTGGAAACAAATGGAAGCAAGAGACCTTTCCCTATGATCAAGAAAAGCTTGAAATCAGTTCAAAACAAAGTCATCCATTCTCTTCTCATCTGCATACTCTAAGATTTAAATAATATATTTTTTTCCTGTGTTTACAGAAAGCAGTCACTGGCTTCTTGGTGGGTTTGGCTGGTGAGGTGGAGGAGAATTACATCTCAGGGGAGACATAGCCCTGGAATGCTAAAACATTTATTCCAAAGACTGACTTCTTGTGACACTGGAGGCATTAGCTATAGTGTGTCTATTTAGAGATGTGGCAGGAGGGGGACCTGCAGCCTGCAAGAAGTTAGATCCAAGTGTATCCCAGAAGACTTTTCTTGTTATATTCTTTAGGAAAAACCACTCCTGGCACATTCTGTGAACTTGAACTTCATACACTTTTGACTGGCATTCTATTTTTGCCGTTAGTCCAGGATTTACAGTCAGCCTGGTTTCCCTCTTGCCTACCATGGCAGCAGAAAGCACACGGGGCACTCTGCTGGCTCCACAGGTAGGAGCAAAGAGGGCTGGAGTTTCTTTTTCTGCAGTGATGCTTCCAATAGCTGTGCCACCCTGCTGTACCTTAGCAGACAGTGAGCCTCCCCTCTCTCCCCACTGCCATTCATCCAGCACTGTGCAGCAGCCCAGCTGCTGCGTCTGCCGGGAGGGGCTGCCAAGTGCCCTGCCTACTGGCTGCTTCCCGAGTCCCTGCCATTCCACACACACGCTCTGCCTCGATCACACACCGAGCCACTCGAACATGCGAGGAGCACATTCCTTCCTTCCTCCTCACTGTCTCGGCCCTTGACTTCTACAAGCCCATGGAACATTTCTGGAAAGACGCTCTTGATCCAGCAGGGTAGGGTTGTTTTGATTTCTCTCTCTGTAGCTTGAGTATTTTGAGAAAGCAACTTACCTTTCTGGCCAGTGTCTGTATCCTAGCCGGGAGATGAGGTTGTGCTGTTTTCCATGGGGGGATATGTGTGGCTCCTTTTTCTTCAGGACTTGTAGGATTCTCTGTGCCATTTATATATTATTTGGCCAGCTCAGATTTTTAAAGAGCCCTAGAAAGTGCTTTTGCATGTGTTTTAGAAAGGCATTTGAAAATTGAAAGTGTGATTTACGGAAACTAAGTCATTTGTAAAAAAAAAAAAAAAAAAAAATTGCTCTGCAAAGTACTGGTTGCTGGCCATACAGAGAGATAGCTGCGATTCCCCTAATGTGTTTTTAACTCTTTCTTTGCTATGATCAAGAGTTATTGATGCTGAACTTAATTTTGGCTTCATAGTAAATCAGCTTATCTGCATATCGTCCAAAATGGTCTGTTTTTCTAAGAATACATAAAATGTGTACTTAGTATAAAATGTTTTAAAAATGTTACCATTAGTAACAATCTTGGCATTTATATATGCCATGAGCATTTTGTCAGGTACATTGTTGAGTGTTTGGGACAGCAATTAAAGTCAAGTATTAGAGTCTGTAATATCAAATGTTATTAGGCTAGGGCAAAAGAAATTAGAAAGTATAAACTATCCCAGATTATAGATTATGATCTGCTCACCAAATCTTTTGTCTCATCAATAATTGTGTTTGTGCATGATTAGCTTTTAATTCAGTTAATTAAGTTCAAAACTTTTTTCTATTTCTCTTTTATTTGGATATTTGATTTTGTGTCTCCTAGCCCAAATGAACCCAGAAGGTCCAGTTGTAGAACTAAAGAACTGAAAAGCAGACATACATTCTAAAAGTTGCTGGTTAGACAGACACTATAACACAATTGCTGAAGCTCTGGTTAAAGACTTGAAGACTATGTTTTGTAGAAAAAGGTCACATTTTATATTCAGTTTTCTGAAGTTTTGGTTGCATAACCTGTGGAAGGCATGAACACCCATGTGTGCCTAACCAAAGGTTTTTCTGAATCATCATTCACACGAGAATTTCTAAAGGGAGCAAGTACAGCACTGTGTCCAAATTTAACAGCAAAGCAAGGCTGGGAGCATCTCAGAAGGTTATGGCTGGAAGGGAACACTTTGGGAGCGTTTTGCAGATGAGGAAACCGAAGTCCCATAGCCTTGTGGTTGCAAATGCAAGGATTCCTATACCTACCTTGCATTTCCACCCTCTGCCCCCACCACCCCAGATGCTCCTATCAGTTCCTGCAGCTGCTAAATATAGTTGACTGTGGCTGGCTGCATATGCAACCGCACACCCCATCCTATCTGCCATATCTCAGTTACAGAGCACTCTTCCCCAGGGTCATTCTATGTACACACTACATACTTCTAGCCAACAAGAAGAGTGAATCAAACAGAATGAGAGACAAACAGAGATAGGTTGGAGCCTGGCACGGGCACATAAGGCAGCACACTAGAAAAAGCCAGCTCCTGGCTTAGTCTCCCAAGTTTGTTTTAAACCCAGTCTTCCTGGGGCCACCTTTAGGAGATCCCTCTGCGCCCCCGCCCCCCCTGCAATGAAATTCAGCCTCCAGTCCAGCAGCGACGACAAGTAAAGCAAAGTTCAGGGAAGCAGCACTTTGGGATCACTCCCCAAACGAGTAGTGCCTGGAGTGATGTTTAAACCAATGTCAGTGCAAGACAACTGCCCCTGGCGGGCTTCCAGCACCTTTGTAATGCATATGAGCAGGGGAGACAAGAACAAGTTGGAGACCCAGGAGCCCGGGGACTTGGAGCGCACTCGCGCCAGGGCTGCACTTGCTGGAGTTTGGCCACCCGGCTCCACCGGATCGGTCAGCCCCAGGGCAGGGCCAGGGCCAGGGTTCTGTCGCGGCGGGACACGAGCTGCGCCGACTCTAACCGCGGGCTCTGCTCTTTTTCCAGGTGGCCCGTTGGCTGCTAAAGCCTCTGCGGCGCGGGGAGACGATTTGCGCCTTGCCCGCGGCCACTGACCATGACCATGACTCTCCATGCCAAAGCATCGGGAATGGCCTTGCTGCACCAGATCCAAGGGAACGAGCTGGAGCCCCTCAATCGCCCGCAGCTCAAGATGCCCCTGGAGCGGCCCCTGGGCGAGGTGTACGTGGACAACAGCAAGCCCGCGGTGTTCAACTACCCCGAGGGCGCCGCGTACGAGTTCAACGCCGCGGCCGCCGCCTCCACGCCGGTCTACGGCCAGGCGGGCCTCGCCTACAGCCCCGGGTCCGAGGCGGCGGCTTTCGGTGCCAACGGCCTCGGGGGCTTCCCGCAGCTCAACAGCGTGTCCCCGAGCCCGCTGATGCTGTTGCACCCGCCGCCGCAGCTCTCGCCCTTCCTTCACGCGCACGGCCAGCAGGTGCCCTATTACCTGGAGAACGAGCCGAGCGGCTATGCGATGCGCGAGGCCGGCCCGCCCGCCTTCTACAGGTACCAGCACCACGTCGGGTGGCCGCCGCGCGCCTGGCGGGAGGGGAGGGAGCGAGAGAGCGAGCGCGGAGTCCGCGCGGTGCGCAGCTGGCCCGAGGCCGCAGGTCGCGGGCTCCGCCACCCCGCGCAGCTCCCAGCGCGGGAGCCCGAGGGTGGCTGGTGGAGCCCGCGCGCGTCCTCTCCACTGGCGGCCAAAAAAGCGACTGTCCTTTACCCCTCAGCCGTCTATGTGACAGGCAGATCTGAGAGCCCGTGCGCTTCCCAGCTAAACCAGCTATGGGAAACTGTAGAGCAGCAGTTATTTGGGGGACTGAGGGGGAGGGGAGGGAGAAACACCCCAAAGTCAATAAACCCGAGGCGCTTTGAATCGCCAGGAAAGGGCCTGCTTTACTATTGAAAGATAGAGGTGTTTGGGGCTTAGAGGAACTCGGGGGAGTTTTATTTATCATTAATTATTTAATTTAAAAAAATTTAATGGGCTGGCAAATTTTCCTCTCGTTTAGAATTCTGGATTGGAAAGAAGCAAGCTATGATGGTGCTGATGAGTTTTGGGGGAAAGCGATACTGATCACTCACGGTCCCCACTTTTCCCCATCCCAGGGTTTGGGATTGAATCGCGCTGCTCAGAAGAGCTGTACAGGAGTTTGAATGGATCTCAACACGTTTGAGATTTCTGACTTTCTGGCTGAGTCCGTGTTGGAGCTGATTGCTGGCGTGTGACTTCTGACAGCTAGAAATTTATTGGTGTCCTAAGAGTTTGAAACATGACATATGAAACACCGGTACGTCCCGATAATCTGCCTGCAAGTTGCGGGTCTGGCCTCCCAGACAGAGAACGCCAGTTGCGCCCTGCCTCCTAGGCACCCTGGAAGAAGCGCTGGTGGTTAAGGACACACAGGATCTCTCCCGCACCTAAGTGGCGAGTTTTTGTGTCCTCATTTCTAGTTTCTCCTATCAGAGATTTTTACTTTTGCCTCCCCCTTTTCCCTGATTTCCCCTTTGGCTGTTCCCATGTGTCTTCCTCATAGGCCTGTAGAGGGCTTAGGGGGACATTTCTGGCAAATACCTGTATCTGAGGCACCTGTGGAATAGTGACAGCTGGACCCACATGGGTGCTGAATTAGACACTTTCCGACTGTATGTTGGCTTCGCCATCACCACCGTTTTCTGCTCAGTGTTCTATTACCAGGGATATTTATAGCAGAAGAATCAGGACTATGGTGCAGTTGGCCCCAGAGGATACCAAGGGCAGACTCTTGGGGTATCCAAACATAAACCTTCAGCCCTCTTAGAGGACCCCGGACCAGCCCACGGCCAAGCACATCCCGGCTGAGTTATTACTGAAAAGATAAACGAGGAACAAAACTTTAAAAAGTTGGTAGATTCAAATTAATTTCACTTGTTTTAATTCGGGGTTAAGCTGAAAAAAAGAATTTCTTCTGCCCACTTTTTTTTTTTTTCATCAGAAGAACAAAATACAGCGATTAAGTGTAATTCACAAAACGTTTTAAAACTTGATGTGAAGGAAGGCATTGGGTGGAATGTGAATTCCATAACCTGTGGTGGACCCCAAACTATTTTTCTTGTCCATTTAATTTTCAGTTCTTTTATTGCAAATTAATGCCACTGAATTTCAATGGGCACTAATGAGACTGCTCCTTGGAGGATTATTTACTGCCTTACTAGTAATTACAAAGTGAGCTTGGTGAAATAAAGAGGGGATCACATTTATTCAAAACTGTTCATCTTCCCAGTGGCAAATGATATCACCGTAATACACCCCATCTTAAACTTTTTTGCATTAAATGGTATTCAGGTACTTTTTGAATAATACAGAGTGACAATGAACTTTTAAAAGTAAAGTAAAAAACACACACAAATGGAAATTTAGTTTTTGAATGGTTTTCCTGTGTGTTTTATTTTCTATAACATCCTTGCTCTTTTGTTTTAATTCTACTTCTAGTTATTGGGGGGGGGGGGAAGCATCAATGCAAATATTTCAAAGGGAAGATGGTATTTAATATTTTTTTCTTAGTTTTCCCATTTGACAGCTCTTGATAAAAAGAAAACAATTGAATAGATTAAAAAAACTTCACTTTTTAAAGTAGCTTTCAAAAGTTTGGGAGTTGAAAGCTGTATTTTCAAACTTCTTACTATGGCTGAGTCTAGAACATTTTTAAAAAGGAGCAAAACAGAAAAGGATATAACAGAAAATATTAGAGTGCATGATATTTAGCAAGGATAAGTTTTCTTTTCTGAAAATTTGTTTTGATTTTATGTGCTTGTGTGGGTCGATTGCATTGTAAAATGTATTTCTTACGGTGGATTGAGGTTTAAGAAGCTTGGAAGGTGTTGGCCTAAAATATTGCATTCAGTAGAAAGCAAAAAATTCAAGCAAGTGTCTGTGGTTTTATGTACACAGACCAAAAAGGAAATTTGATGATTTTATTTTTCTCTTATACATTAGACTCAACTTTGCTATTTCTGATTCTTAACTTTGCTATTTGTAGATTGTCATCCTGAATGTCCCGCTGGGACGTTCAGAGACTTTGAGTTTTCATTATTCAGCATTAAGATGCTGTGCTTACTGTTCACTTTCTTCCACTGGTTACAATATGTAGTCACATTTATTCGTCAAGAAAAATAGCAGATAAAATTGCTTGGGGCATAGAGTAATGTGAGGAAAATGGTCACATGTCCCAACAACTTGTAATTAAGAGATAATAAGTTTGTTAATAAGCAAGCTGTGATTTTGCAAGACATGTGTCTTCTTCATATTTCATGATGAAGGCTTTAGGGTTCAAACAACTTAGAGATTTTGAAGAAAGCCAAGAACAAAATGCTGACCATGTTTTTGAAAATTGAAAGTAGGTATTTAAAGCTGTGTGTGGGTTTCAGTTTTACCACTCAATATTTCTAAAGCCTGAACATTGCCTACCTTTCCATAAAAACTTAATCAACAAGTGTATAAGCTTCTAAGTCAAAATCAATGCTCTGGTAATTTATACACTGGATGTCAGCATTCTGCATATTTTGGACAACTAGTTTGTCCCTGCTGATCTTTTTAAAACTATTTCTCAACTTTGAACAGAAACTCATCTCTGGGAAGGGATTTGAGTGGCTAATATTCAAGTTTCCAATGGTTCTTTCCCTGTACTTAGGTGCTATTTCAGCCCCTTTATGTCCTTGCTTTTTTCAATCATTTAGATCGTTGCTGATTACTGACACTTTGTGCTGGTCTAATAGTCCACGGAGCTACACATTGCCTCTGGAATGAGTGCATGTTCCCATGCAAGCAGAATCACAGGTCCAATCTCCTTTTCATTTTCACCTCCTCCATGTGGCTTGTACCTGGCTCCCAAGGATAATTGCCACATAGTCCAATCTTCTGTCTCACACTGTTAATTTGGATTCTGGGATGTAACTGCTATTTACTTTGGTGAATATATTTATTTTATGACATTCATAATTTGAGAAAATGCAGGTTGAGGATTTTAGTTTCTTATATTTTTAAGGATTAAAAAAGAGAAGAAGAAATTGCCAATGTCAGGGAAGATTGTAAAGATAGATTTCAAACTTCCCATGATTGTAAAAGATACCAAACTTCCGATGAATGGCAAGAAAATAGTAATTTTGCTTGCATTGGTGGTTCAGAGGTAGAATTCTTTCCTGCCAAGAAAATAGTGATTTTTGCTCAAGTGAGATTGTATATGTGAGAGGGGTCTGTAAGCTTACATTTTTGTTTCTTTATCCACATGGTAATATTTGTGTTAGTGCTTTAGTAAGGCAAAAAGCAGGCGGGAAGAGCAGAGTTTAGTGGTTAGGAGTTTCTCTGTGAATATGGAATGACGATAATATGGACTCTCTTTCCCTGGAAGTCAAATCTCTTTACCATCTGCAACATTGTTTGCAGTTATTATAAGGAGCATTTAGGTTGCAGATGCATTTTTGAATGTCAAAGGCCTGACAGAGTATGTGAAAATGATTTTGCATAAGGAAATACATGAATTGCAATCATATTAAAATTTCTCCACTCCATACTCCACACACTCCTCCCTGTGACTTCACTAGTATTTTTACTGTAATGCTAGGGGATCCCAGTTAAGACAGCAGCATGCTGAATGCGCTCCTTTTTTTCCAGGAAACTGTAAGTGGAGAGGTGCAAGTTGGACTTTCAATTTAGTGCTATGTCTCAGTTCAAGCAAACTAGGAAAGGAAAACACAGAGTGGCTACTCTTGTTTAGAACCAAAATGCATCTTCCAGGTCAAATGCTAAGTAAATCCGAAAATACAGCCACCTGCACATCAACCAACCGAAGTGAAAGTTAAGGTATTTCATAGAAAGGAGTTGGCTCATCAAAGTTATCAGTTTTATTTTATATTTTCAATTCTTCTACTGAATAAATGGACAATGTTGTTTTTAGAAAAACAACAAAAAAAGTATGTCTAAGCCATTCCCTTCTGTAGCCCCAAAATATTCTCACCCTGCCTTCTGAAACTTGAGGACATATGTGGGCTGGAGGTGAAGGGAAGTCTCTTTATGATATTCTGAAATCTTATGAGGGAAAACCTCCCCACAATTGCTGAGTTCTGTGCCTGGAGAATATTATTAGAATTTAAAAGGTTAGTTTTGCCTTAAACAATTAATGTTTTAAATTATGTGTATTTTTTAGACCCCAGTAAAACATGAAGGATAGAAAGATAACTATTTTGGTTCCAACTGACAACATTTTATATAGTTTAATATGTAGTAATTTAAAGTAACTTAGTTGAATAAAAAAGTTTATGACCTCTAAGTGATATGGTGGTTGTGGTAGTGGTAATCCATGATTTCCTGATAATGATGGCGATAAAAAGAGGAAGATAATGGCGATGATAAAATGATAGTCACAGTTTGGGTAGGTAGTCTTTCTGGATGCCCATTATATAGATGTTTGTCCTATACAGAAATCAAATTCTTTTGATGTACTTGATTTTTGTATAGTTATAATTTTGCACTG